CCAACGGCGCGCCCATGACTCCACGGCTGTCGCGCATGGATGTGTCCGAAACCAAAGTTGACACGCAGTGCCGGCGCGTCAATTCGATGAGCACCACGAGCGTGTCGCAACACATCCATTTGACGGACACACCGAACCGCGTCCCGTCACGATGGCCGTGCCCTTCTTTGCATGCAGGCCAAGTGGATGGGGTGACGTGAGCCGTGGAGAGGTATCCGACAGCAGCGCACATGAGTCGTAAAAATTGGATTTGACCAAAGGAAATTTTTTTTTGAATAGTAATGAAGTGGAGGACAGGAAGCTTGCAAGGAGGAGCATGGAGATAAACACAGAGTTCGACATACCGGGTCAGCTTGTTCGTGTTTGAAGTGGCCCGAGGCCTGGCGTTGTTGGTGAGCCATTGCTGCGATGGTCATGAGTTCGACTTCTTCGCGAACGAGTCGTGAGAGCTTCCCCTGCACACCTGTTAGCGTCTGTCATCCGTTACTGTCGAACCTTGACCCCTGGCAGGCATAACGCCAGCTTGATGCCCCAACAGGGTGTTACAACAACGGGGATGTTCGATGCAGTCCGTCCGTTCATGGCCTGATATCCACACATATTTGAGAAGATCTCTGAACCGAACAAGAACATGACCCCGCTGAGGCTATTCATGGTGCAGGGAGCTCTTTCAGATCGTCTGGACAGACTGGCCGAAACAGGACATGCATGGTGGTACAGGCAGTAGGCAGTCAAAGGACATCCGAGTCGGGTAAACTCACTGCTCAGACGTCGTAATCAATGATTTAGCGCGCTTCGCTACTGCTTCTTGCTTTGAAAGCACGATATCACTCTAGACCCAAGTTAGCGAAAGGTTCATGTCCACAGAGAAGTAAATAGATTGCACGAAGGTCATGCACCCGCGACTGACGCGACTCAAGTCTGAGCCCGGTGTGAGTAGCGGAGATTGGATGCACCAATCGCCGTCCCTCTCACAGAGTCGAATCGGGTGAGAGGGCAGATGAGATACAAGCAACAAAGAAATGGTGCGAGCGCTGTGGACAGTGCACCACTCGCGAGGCCCATCTCGGTGCTAGCGGAAATTCGTTCATGCACAGCGGGGGATGAATTAGGAGAATGGCGTGGCGTGTGGCCCATACATACCCTTTCAAGTGAACAGAATTCGATGGCGTCGTTGACGATGACCGGCCGAGGCGCAAGCGGTACGCCTGGTGGAAAGGCTCGTTATGGCAGGAGTCGTGGCTGTCAGGCCCCTTTCTGGAGCTAGGAAAATTGCGTGGTTGAATGTTGTCTTGCACACGGTGTCCGTTGAGCCGCGTCCCTGGGTCGATAGCAGGTCAGGATGGTTATGGTAGCGCAAAGTTATCCAAATGGTCGGTTCGGGAACCCGTGCCAGTCCCTGAGCCTCCAGTCCTTATGGGCAAGGGGGGAGGGGGAGGGGGGCAGATAGATGAGCGTGGTTGATTGTACGGGGGACAGCGCGGGTGCCTGGGCTTGTCTGCACACTGCAGATGGCTTGTGCAGCGTCTAGGGGAGGGGTTGATGTGGTGCTGTCACGAGTTAGTCCCTGCAGAATGTGTCCAAGCAGAACGAGTGCACTCCCTGGAGCCTGTAGCCTGTAGCCTGGAGCCTGGGGGACGGGGTGGAAGCAACTGGACATGGAGTGCAGGCCTGGATGTGTAGGGGTTTGTGCAAGGGTATGCTGAGGTGGTACGCACAAGTTGTGGTGGCAATGCTGGGCGGTTCAGAGACAGAGGGGACGGCCGGGGACTGCAGAGCGGGAAAGAGCCTGTCAGACCACTAGCCGGCACAGCGCGAGTTGGTTATGACGAGGATGAAAGAGGACCGAATGAGAGAAGGGAAGGGGAAGGGGGCTGACCCAGGGAACAGAAGTCGGCGGGTATTTACAGGAGTAGGGAAAGGGGAGAGTGATGGGATGAGCGACCGAGCCACGAGCCACGGAAAAGAGAATGGGACAATGATAACCCAGAATCCCGAGTGTAAGGAGCCCATCCAGAGGCCACTCGGCACATTTTTTTGATTAAGGAGGAGCTGGGATGTGACGGGCTGCAGCTGGGGGGCGTCGATGGGACGGGCGACGAGGGGTGGGTGTGGGCGACGTCGTAGCAGTGGTGTGTGATGCCGCGGACGTGCATCCTCTGCCAAATTCCCAGGTGCACTAGGGGAAATGTGGACAGCATCCCGGGTAAATGAGAAGCTCGCAGTCATACCAGCGGGGAGGGGGGGGGGTTCGACGCAGACGAGGACGGGCAGGATGAGGGAATCAGGAGTCGCTCCGAACGAGAGAGGCCGTCCAGGACACGCTGCTCCGAGAAGAGGAACCGAAAAAAAAAAAATCAGAGGTACATATACAGGCCGAAGAACGATGAAAAGGCGTATCGTGACGTACCTTGGTCTGGGACAGCGTAGTTTGTGTGTTCCGCTAACGAATAGCAGAATATGCACAGGTCGCACAGGTCGCACAGGTCGCACAGCGACAGCTCGTAGCCTACCTCACTGGAAGGCTTCGAAGGCTAGAAGAGCAAAGGACCAACTAACCGTCGGGTTGGTGCCGAACTGTGATCAGACGGCTGGGTGGGCGAAGCTACCCAGTCTTGCGATGGAACCGTTGCCTGTCAAAAAGGACGCTCTGGCCAAACGTTAGCACGGACCCCGGTCATCAGGCGGGAGCATCCTTGCTGGCTTTTTTTTTTCTTAGCGGGCAGACTGGGAGTACCTTACCTAGAGCGTACTGTACAGTACCTGACGTGGAGCGTACCTGACGAGCCAGACCAGACAGAGAGCTGAGCAGGGGGACTGGGTCAGGCCGGGGTTCGCGAGATGGACGCGCCCAAGATCTTGGTTATCCGTCAGCTTGAACGACGAAGGATGGAGTCGCAAGGTCGACGCGACTTGATAGGTCTTTTTATCGGTCGCTCGAGTATTGCTTCCCGACTGACACAAATGTGATCGCAACGACCGTAAACCAGCAGGCAGACTGTTGCCACACGCCAGACCACGGTTTGGGCGTTGCAGTTGATTGGGCCCGATACGCGCTGTGCGATGGGAGCCACCTCGGGTGGACAAAAGGTCAACGTGCTTGATGTGGTGACGGAAGTACCAGGCGGAGATTGTTCCTACGGAACAGATTCAAGCGCGTCCGCAGCGATGGGTTTCTTGTAGCACAACGCGCCGGACTGTGCAGGCCAATGTGTATTGTGTATTTGTAGGCGTGGAGATTGTAGGTTTATTGTACGATCGGGAGTCTGAATAGAGGGTGTCGCAATGATGGTTCGGACAGGTCGGGCTAGGGAATGGCGACTGCTTGTTGGATAGAACAGCCGGCGGGCGCAGTAGAGGACAGGCTCGAAGGAGGTTGCAACGGCGATCCTTCCCCGGGCAGTGGGCGCATAAGATATCGTGAGGAGGAGTATTGATCTCGAGCTGTCACACAGAACGTCAGAGGCAACTCGGGCCACAGCATGTACTGCACATGGCGTTTGGTAAACCGGAAGCAGAGAAAGCAGTTTCAAGATGTGGCAGGCTGCTGTTCCTTGAGGGGCACCGGCAACAACATTCCCCCTTAACGCTTTCCATAAAGCAGATGGCGTCTGTGGCGCGTGTTGACTCAAACGAAGCTTCAGGGGGGCTGGGCCGCGGAACCAGGGAGAGACCATGAGAGGGAACGTGTGATACTCACTGTAGAGGTGTTTTCGAGGGGTTCAAGGCCTGTTCGCGACAGAACCTAAACGACGGCAGACAAAAGATCGGTTGATACAGGTACGTGCGGATAGAAGCAAGAAACGAAAGTCAGTTGCTCTGCGTTGCTTCGCGCGCTCAAGGTTGCAGATGATGGTTCGCGTGCACGGAGTTGGATGCCAGTGTAGGTAGCCGGGTTGAGTTCTGAACGCGCGACGGGCAATTGACGGATCATTTACGACGCGTGGAGGAGACGCCAAAGCCTTGATTCTGAGGCATTGAGAAGGTCGCGTATGGGATATGACGAGCAGGCAGGGGGGAGATCAGCGTTGTGGACACTGACGTGAAGGTCCTGTCTGACTGCGCGGGCTGGGAGGAGTGTGTGTGCCGGCCTGCCTACCGTACCATCGTACCATGTACTTGCCAAGGCAGGTACTGGCAAGGAAGGTACGTGTCCTGCGTGGGTGCCAGGTAACTTGCACAACAGAGCTAGCTACGTACTTAGCCACAGGGTGATTGGGCAGTGTGCGAGCATGCGACCGTTCGACTGCTTAGCTGGTACGACTCTAGAGACTGGGAAGTTGCGATGGACACGGCGGCACGTGGACACGTGCTGACCTGGTCGTCGTTGCTCAAAGTTCGACAGGGGGGGCCGAGAGGACGGCTTGGGCAACGACGGATTGGTACTGGAAAGTGACTGCTCAACTGCATCCCGCACTCAGGGACACATGGGAAATCTTTTTTGGTAAGG